TTTTCTCATGTTGTTCTCCTTGTAGAATTTATGTCTAAGTGAGTAAATTCATTTAAAATGTATTTCACTGTGAGTGTAGCTTGGCATGTTGTACTATGTTGGTTGATGTTTATTCTTCAGTAAGTATGAATGGCTGAGGTACGTGTGACCTATGTGCAGTTGAGCCTGCATCACTTCATCCTTTCTTCTTTACTAGACACCTGCATTCCTTCAGGGTCAGTTTGACTGTGTGAACCTTTATTTGTGTTGTCAGTCCAGTGCTTCTGCCATTTCTGTTGAATTAAACTGTTTATTTCACTTTTCAGATCCATATAAAATGAAACTATTATCAATGGTTTCATTCAGACTTTGCGGACGAATCTGCTTGGTCATTTCCTTCATGGTCTGGCGCTACATAATCAGAGACAAATAACTGTACCAAATAAGAGAAAGGATATCAATTGAGGATTTTCACCAGCAGCAACAACTAAAACAGATAACATGTATAACTTGATTTTTGGTTGGTTGTTTAGCGGCATATCAGCCTCTATGGTTTACGTAATGCTGAAATCTAAAATATCTTAAACACAATTTTTATGAACTTCAACTATATATATATATATATATATATATATATATATATATATATATATATATATATATATATATAGTTTGCTGATGATCTATTGCATATGTTATATGTGTTGCTATAAACCAATTTGTTTAAGACAGGACATTATGTTGACGGTTTCAGTATTTTCAAATAATTTTCTCATGTTGGTTTCCTTGTAGTATTTCCCATAAGCTGAAAGAACACAGCACATAATAGAGGATATCTATCCCAGAAAGTTCCAATAATATCGGTAATGGAGTTGTGTTTATTGGGCATGGCTGTACGGAATTTAGTAAAGTCCATAATGTGTTTCATACATGCTCAGTGGAGTTTAAATCCGACAAGTTTGTGGTTAATTTTTTTTTAACAATAATGTTTACCTTATACAAGGCTCAAGAACCACTTGAGGTAGAGGGTTACAGAGTAAGAGGTACAGTTTATTAGGACATGTGGGCAAGGTAATGGTTAACCCTAGACTTTAGCAGGCTAGGATTGTAGCGATTGGAGAAGCATCGTCAAATACCTGGAAGTTGGTTGAGTGTTCTCAGGATCATTTTTGTTTTGCCCATATGTGACATGCTTGAAAAAAAAAAAAAAAAAAAAAAAAGCACCAGCATCAGAGAATATAGCAAGCATAATGGGGAGCAAATAGGCTGCAAAATTTCCCATTTATTTTTGTAACTGTCAAAACAGATTCCATTTTCATTAAGGAAATTTCTGGCAGAACAAAAGCCACACCAGTACACATCTGCCACCAGCTTGCACAACACCCTGATGATAGACTGGATTCATAGAAACTCAACTGTCTGCTTCAAAGAGCTGAAAACTGATCTGGTCAGTGGGCTTGCACAATAGAACCATTTGTAGGTTTCGAATGGTTTTCAACTGAGGGAACTGTATTAATGTTATTTGTATTTAAGCAAAAGATTAAAACAAAACTTTCACATTTTAAAAATTAAAAAATAGGGGCCAGAAATCCTGCTTTGGAGGGAAGAGCCTAAATTTTGTATTTAACCTATTTAGATTTTGGGGAGATTTTCAGCACTGAAAATGGATTTAGGAGCCCCCAAAACACAGATCATGATTGAAAGTGTTGAAAATTGATATTTCGTGCCTAGCATATGTTGCCAGATTTGGATAATGATCAATTTGAAAGAAACTGAGGACTTTAAATACCCTCCCTGGAGCAATTTTCTGGTATTTTGCAGATTTTAATACTTGGGAACTTAAATGAAAAGGAGAACAATTTTATTTTGGAAATTTTTGTTAGCATTATACAAAATTGGAGGTCAGAGAGAGAGAAAAAAAAAAAAAAACAAAAAAAAAAACAAGGCAAAAAATATTGTTAATTTTACTGAATTTCATGTTGTAAGGTCCTAAATTCCACTTAATATTGGTCACTTTTGAAAAAGAGTGTCAATTTACTGCCACTTATAACATTAATTTCACCAAGAATCCCATGACTTTCCGAGCAAGAAAAGGCAGAAAAAAGCAACTATCTGATCGTCCGAAAATAAATGATTAAATGTGTGAGTTTTGATTAACTTTAAATGATCATAATTTGACAAATACTTGAAGTAGGCACAAAGACCTGTTCTGAAATCCTGAAACTCTAGTTTCAGTCTAGATATACAGGTTGAGAGGCATAAACATGATATCCCTTTACATTTCATAACACAACTTATATATTTATATCCTGAAAGTAGTTTTATATCAGACTAGCAGCATGGCTCGGCGTTGCCCGTGCTTGATTAAAAAATCGTACGACTCATACAGCAATCGCTATTACTCGACTTAAAATATTTTTGCCCTTCCTTGCCTTTAAAGGAGTGCCCTTTGCCATGCTGATGTTGCTACATGCCTTACTTCTTGCCTATCTCACACTGCGAATTTTTTCTAAGCTCTATACTAAACATTAAATCTGTTACGAAAAAAGAACTAAACAAAATGAACACAAAACGATCAGCTTTAAAAAAGGACTCGTAACTGGAAAAACCAAATGAAAAAAGAATGTTAACAACAAATACTTTTTCATACCCAACCTACAATTCAATGTTGAGTTTAAGCAAGCGAATGAGCCAATTGGAATCCATGAATCAATGTTGAGTTTAATGCTAGTTAACATTCGTGTCAACGCTGAATGGCAGCCAATTGGGCCAGTAAAAATGGCCAAACTGCAGATTTAAAAAAAATTTTTTCCACTTGTGAGTTGGAAAATGCAAAGTTGTTCTGCCTTCCCAATCATGCATATCGAAAATTTTTTTGCATCCCGCCTTTTATAGATAGTTAACATTTTAAATACTTAATGTCATGTCTTTTCTTAAATTTTTGTCAGTCATCAATATTCAGTTTGTCATGATAGCTTTTCACCTGTTTCATGATCAGCATTCCAGTAAGTGGCATATGTTCATCGACAAATCCACTCCGTCAATACACGATAGAGATCATCATTTTTTTGTTCTGTGCAGTGTTTTTCTATTTTTCATTAATTTCTGTTCATTACTTTCAGCATAAAGCTTTAACAATTTCTTTTTCTGTTTCCTTAGGTCGTATATGGTGGTTGTTCCAACATCTAAATTCCTCACTCAGATGCTTCACATTTACACCCCTGTCTAGTTTTACCAACAATTTAACTTTCTGTGATACGGATAAACATAAATGCTTTCTTTTTTTGTTTTCACTACTCATATGGGTATCTGCAGGACTTTTTGAATAATATCTTTACTGAGCATGAAACACCTGGTAAGTAATCTATGAACGAAAGTGTTGCTGAGACAATCACTAACAAAAAACTAGTGTAGGTTATGTAACTGGGCTGAGGAACTCCCACCCAGGACAGATGAGGTCACTTATAACAGTTGCACATCACCTAGGAACCTTCTTAGTGATTTCTAAAATTTTTCATTTCTTGCAAGGAATGTCAGCACCTGAAAAACTTTCAGGTTTTCGCATTTTCAGATTAAGGATCACATATCTCTTGGAAAAATGTTTCAAAATTACCAAATGTCTGCTTGCAAGCCTTCTGTGGAGAGTTGGGATGAAACAGAAATAAGACCCTTTTATTGTAATTTGGATGGTCACTTCCATCCATATGGTGTTGTGTGTCCAGGATACACAAAAAGAAAGACAAAAGGAAGTGTTTTAAGGTACTGGCAGTTGTTACAGTTTTGGTGAAATTGAAAAGGAAGTCATTTAATATGACCATCATATTGTTATATGCACTGACATTTCATTAGAAAGCACCAAAGAAGAAATGTGTTTTTTTTACAATACATTAAAGAACCAGACACAAGAAATTGTCATTGGGGAACTAAATACAAATGCAAGAAAGGGAACAAGATAGTAAAATTGTTAGTAATTATGAATTTGGATCATGGAATGAATGCAGAGGAAAATGGGTTTATTAGTGCATAACAAATTATAAAGTAATAATGAACATCTGGGCAGAAAATCCATCACCCAGAACTTGCAGACATGACTGGCAGGAGATATTATGGGCCAGATAGACTGCCTAACAATCAATAAAATCTGGAGATTGTCTACTTTTAGACTAGATATAGCACATGCGTATCACTTGAGAAATGTTCCCGAAATACCAAATATTTTCCTGCAAGTACACTGCCGGAGAAAGTGTTGATGCTTTCTGGTTGAGGGTAGGTACAGTAACAAATACACTGGTATCAAATATGCCAACCATGTTGGTCAATAGCAACAAAACCTCATTGAATACAGTGTACATTGTGCATTGATTGTGGAGTTGAACAAGACCAGCATTAAATTAGGAAGTGATTTGATGCAGTATAGGTGGTTACCATCCACATCAGTTAGCAGCAATCCCATTCTTATGTTACCTATGGATACCTACAGTTTTCACACACTGCTGATGTCTGTCTGGAATTGAAATAATCCTCATGTACCCTTGCTACTGCTGCCCAAGAAAAATAGATTAGTTGTCACCGTAAAGAAAGGCCCAAACAATTATTCCAAATATTATTAAGTGCTATTCATGTCCTATACCTGCCACAGTTACACTACCTCTATACCTATTATGTTACATATACATAGTTTTTACTTGTGTGAGTGGATGCGAAATCATCCAGCATACTGCAATTTTTGGACACTGAATACTTGACAAAAGTTTGATCATTTGATATTTTTTATGGCTTTTGATACTGCTTCTATTAATTTAAAGTTGAAATAATTTCTATGATTGAATGATTTTTTCAACTGAATATTGTATTAATGCTTTTGGAGATAATTATTTTCCACTAAAGAAGAAGCGATAGATTCATATCTTTCCCAGGAGTATTTACGCATAAGTGAATGTAATGAACATAACTGAAATTCGAACTCAGCTCTCAGATTTCTCATTCAGCTGTTAGCCATTACACCACCCATACATCCAAGTTTACAGCACCTGGTATTCCCAAACGGTCACTCATATATGCACTGACTAGACTCGGCATTGCTTAACTCCATTGATCGGATGAGAACCAGTGTTTCACCATGATCTAGCTTGTATGTGAGAAATTCTGCAATTAAAGCTAAGCTCCTATTGGCTAATTTATGCCACACCGTATTTTTGTACCGACCAAGCTCTTTGGTTGAATTTTTCCTTTGCCTTTTGCGGGCATTTTCAACTGTACATGCCTCTTTTTCAGTTGCTGCAAAATCTTCGAGATGACATTTCTCTCACATTGCAGGGCCTTTAGCGCCCAAAATTAAGCCTAATTGACTAGGCAATTAGTCTTATTGTCACATATTCTAGAGACTTTTTAAGGCTGAATAATTAAGTCGGTTTATTGACTGCCGTCACATTATGTACTTTTGCATGAAGAACCTTTCTGCATGCTCTCGACAAATAGCCGAGTTTTAATTTCAGCAACCAAATTGGTAATGCTCCTGTTCGACGACCGTCAATTTCCTGCTTCTTCGAATCTGCATAGAGACCAGTTGAGTCCTACAGAGAAGAAAAATACTACCACTTCTTTGAAGTAACTACCCCACTCTATTCACAGGGGCGCAAAAGGGCATAATCTTTTTTGTAAAAAGACGAAATAAAATTTGTATTGAATTTTAAGGTAGGCTTTGTTTGAATTGTATGTCTTTTCTTGATCCTGCCGGAGTTAAACCGTGTGAGAAGAAATTCTCACATGTAAGCCTCTGGACAAAAGAGGAAGTTATAAGAAGAGGAAGAAACTTGTGAACAGTCAGAAAAGTAGAGGCACATAATTAGGAAATAGGGCTTGAAGAATATAGATGTCAAAAGAAAAGAAGAAAGAAGCAGCAAGTTCAATGTATAGGTTTGAATTGAACAAATGGATGAATGAATACCACAGGCAAAAAGAGAGATCAAGGAGCAAGTATTGCTAAAAAAAAAAAAAAAAAAAAAAAAAAAAAAAAAATCAAACAAACAAAAGTCAACAGAAAGTTGGAGAACTGTAATCGTCGATGCCTTAGAGAAAACTAAAAATGTAGAAAGAACAGATTTAGAATCATTTCGATGGGCATTGAATTGGAATATTTCTTCCGTTGTTATGTAGACCGTAACGTGAAAAAAAAGTGGCATATAAATTCTACAATTAACCTAATACTACAATAGCAAATATTAAAATAAAATAAATTTTTTTTAAAGAGAACAAAAACATGTCCTTCCCAGCTACAGTCAAAAACTAACGATACTGAGTAACAAAAATGAATGATGAATAACTTGAACTCTACAATGTCAAGTCAAGTGTGAATAATTTCTTTATCTGTTGATTGTATTTCGTGTCTTTCCCTTTCTAGTTCATAAGGATTGTGTCCTACGTACTTTTCACTCAGAATGAAAATATTTTATTCTTCTGTCCCGAAAAACATTTAATTTTCTCAGTATTTCTTATTTGATTAATAATATTAACTTTAAAAGTTTTAAGAACTATTTTTCTTTTATTCACTTACGAAAAATCATAAATGGATACCTGAACTAAAAAAAACCCCAAAAAACAAAAACAAAAACATATTTGACACTTAATTAAAAAACTGTCCGGAGTTTCATCAAACAATTGTCCTGCTGCTAACCTAAATACGAACGTGCATTTTGTTTTGCTAACCAGGTCAAAGTTCATAGGTATTCAGAGGAATGGAGAAAACGAGGTATAGCTACAACTTAAAATCTTTATGCATAAAAAATTAAATTGATTGCTAAGAAAAAAAAAAAAAAAAAAGATACGAATTCTTTTTAAAACCCACCCACCCTGCAGAAAATTAGAGTAATGGTAGTTTTCTGCAGGTTCTAGCAGGCTGAACTGGGATAGACTTAAAAAAATCTTGACGTCTGGTCACCTGAGATGACTAACAAAAAGGATGGTCCAGTCCGACTGCCTTTAGTGAATAATAAGAATGATAACTAAGTTTGAATAAACTTCGCAGATACATATAAGCTTGCAACCTAATAATTTAAAAAAAAATATTTTGTTACAACAGTTTATTTTTTAGTACCCCCACTGTTAAAAAATGCATTTAAAAATCTGGCTTGTCACATACGGAACATTTACACTTACAGTGATTTCTGATTAAAAGTTTAATTAATCTACACTCTGAGAAGTGAAAATCCTAATAATTTTATAACAAAAATGTTATTAAAAAATTCTAACGGTAGATTAAAAAAAATCAATTAAAATTTAAATAGTCTCTTCTTTTGATTGATTTTTCAAAAAATTAATATTATGTTGGAATTTGATACCTTGAACAATCTTTTGTCTCTCAGGTAGCGCCTACTAACTGTACTTAGGGGTAGGGACAACGAATAATAGACGAACTAACAAACTGGACATTTCTAGTTGAAAATGACCCACAATGCCACTATAAATCGTGTGCTGGGTCTGACAGGGTAACCTCACTCACATGAAAAGATCTTTGTGTCACGTTTTTTTTTTTAGGACAAAAGAATTGAAATGCCTGTTGCATTTTTTCGCAGATTTCATAAATCGCCTTAAATATGAAAAAGGGACATACTCATGATAATATTATAAGAGAAAATTAAAGATATTTCTCGGTTATTTTCTTGATGGTGGTTAACGATCATCATCATCTCTAAAATTACCTTTTTTTTTTTCCTACAAAATATAGAGCTCAAGTTTCTGTTTGTAAAACAAGAAAACGGATACGGGGAAAGGAAAATAAGACAATGTGTAAAAAAAAATAAATAAATAAATAAAAAAGATACATACATGATCGTTTAATTAATAAGAAGTACGACTTCAGGTAGATCCAGAAAAGAATAGAAAGGTATAGAATAACCGTTAACGACTGGTTAAGACTAAGAGTCTTCTTACTGGTGAATAAAGTTACAAGTAGTCGTTTTGTTGTTTAAAATGTAATGAATATTGTTAATGTTATCTATTTCTTTTAAGACATTCTTTTTACCACATTTTTACACCGTGGTTAAGTTTTTCTGGCTTTTTATTATATTAAAAAAAATACTAAAAACATATCTGATTGCATTTCTTTTCAAGTTTCATTTTTGCGCTTTTAAAAGGACGTCACAAAAAATATTTGATCTGAATATCCGAGAATTTTATTTTATTATTTTTTTATTCAGTTCTCGTGAACGTTCTTTATTTTCTGACAATAATTTTTATTTATTGATAGAAATTAAATTTGTTTGAAATGTTTAAGCTACGTATGACGTTGGAGAAAATGAAAAAAAATACTTTGTAGAAAGTTTAAAGAAAAAAAATAAAAAACAAACTAAAAATGGGATCTGTTGTTTTTTTTTTTGTTTGTTTGTTTTTAAAGTCCCAGTTTAAAAAGTTTACCCACTAAAAAGACAGAGGAAAAGATACTTAATTCCATTTTTCTTATTTTGAGAAAGCTAAAAGAACAATAAATTTTAGATTAAATAAAACTTACAATTTGATTTTCATTTTCGTAGAATCGAATAAAAGATTCAATATGATCGATATATTTCCTTGTCGTGGGCCCGTCTCCTTTCACATATCGGATCATGGTGCTTTCATAATTTGGAATCGGACGAAAAGAGAGACCTGGATTGCCCCGAAATATGCTGTCAGGGCCTTGTAACCTGGGGTAATTCCAGTCTAAAGTCTGATAAACTACAGCCATTAGGCCAACGGAGAAAAAGAACAAGAAACTGTAAAGAGACAGGTAGCAGCAAATGGTTTTCATCCATCTTTTGGGAGTTCGGTAAATGACAGTTCCAGCGGTTTTGTTGTAAAAAAAATTGCCGAGAGATTCTGCTCTCTCATGAAAATCTGTGTGACTCGGTAAAGTCGTAACTGTTTCTCCTTCTGAACTGGTGCGTGACGCCATGTTTTTCAAGTAAACGCAGCTACAAATGCCACCTGATTAATAAAAAAACAGGTGGCTATTATTTCCCTTCGTTTTATAGAGAGAAAAAAAAAAGAGGCGGGGATGAACTTAAAGCATTTTCCCGTTTATTTATTTCTACTATTGTAATCTCTGGAGTTAGAGTAGTTTGAGCTGTTAAGGTTTTTTTTGACAGCATTTACATTACAATTAAACCGTAAAGAAACGCGTTGAAATTAAATGAATTGCACAAGTTTGTTGAGAAACTAAAAGGTTGAAAATGAGAACACTGAATTAAATAAAGAAAGTGTTTTTCCTCATTTTAAAAAAAATAAAAATAAATAATAATACTTCAGTGTTTTTTTGTTTACCTTTCTTTAAAATATTAAATATTCTTTTTTTAAAAAAATAATACTTTGTCTACCTTTCTTCCATATTAAATTTGATTATTTCTTCATTTAATTATTAATACTTTTTTTTGTATTTTAATTCTAAAAAACGTTCAAATACGTCTACCAACTTGAAATCAACAAAAAAAGCTTTCAAATTCATTTTTACTTGTTTAATTGCAAGCAGTAAATTTTCTTTTTGCAAAAAAAAACAAAAAAAAAACTATGCTGATTAGTAAGTAACATGTAATTTGAATGTAAAGTAAAAAAGATTCGGTAATGAAAGAAATAGTGTGTGTGTTTCATTTACAGACAACAGACAAGGTACTGCGATTAAGCTTTTTAATTTAATTTTTCTTGTGTTCAAACAAGTGTTTTCTTTTCTGGACACCGAGTGTGTAAAAAGCTCTGCAAATGTTCTGTAATAATTATGAGCGCTTTCGGCTATACTTTTTTTTAGCCATTTAACAAGAATGATTTTATTTTGAATTTTTTAACTGGGTTGTGTGTAAGTATCTAGCTCGAGTTAGGGCTGTTTTATTTTCCGAACATAGTCAGCACATTGTGGCCTTGTTCGTAGTTAATATTATTGAGTGTTGGCTTTTTCTTTTTTTATTATTATTATTAAACTAAAGCTTCTATTATTTTTAATTTTTTTACATGTGGATGAGGTTATTATTATGCTTGTATTTTCTACTAGTATGTTTTCAGATGGAGTCTGGTAAGTTTTTGTGTGTGTTTAAAACATTGCTATATAACACTACATACACAATCCATACATCCAGTAAATTATAATTGATAATCGCTAAAAGTATAGTCAAAAGCGCTCGGAATTACAGAGCATTTGGACAGTTTTTCTTGCACACTATATGACCAGTTCGAACACAAGACAAATTAAATAAAATTATAAAAAGCTTAACCAGAGTACCTTTTTGGTGGGTTATCTTATCAGTTATACTAAAGTGTATGAGTGTTGAAACAGATTAGTTTGATTTGGCCTTGTTAGTTAGATAGCCCACCATAAGAGGGGTACAAAACAAGAAAATCAAATTGTAAAGTGAAACAACAAATTTCTATACATATAAATCAATTAAGGTCTCTACAAATAAAATTAATGTATTTTGATTGAAAGAAGGTCGTTAAAATGTTCGTAGTAGTCCTTGCAAGAATGAGTTTATGTGTATGTAGGCAGGAACGTATGTATGTATGTATGTATGTATGAGCGTTATACGTAGGGTAGGAATGTCTTTGAAGTAATCGCTCAGTCTTAAAATGTTCCGTTCGTTTATCAAGTATAAAAGAGGTGAGGGAGAAAGGTAGAAATAATAATAACGATCGCTTGACGTTTGTCAGGGGATGTGTTAATACGCTCGTCTCTTTCTCTCTGGTGACAGGCGAACTTGCCCGTCTTTTATTTTGTTTGTGGGGCATGAAAAAGTCATTTGGGAATTCACTCCCGGATATGATTCGGGCCTTTCCATTGGACGACGAACAAACTTTGCGTCGGCTCGCGAAAAGGTCCGTAAAAGAATTTTGTTTCTGAGAATTGAAGATTATTTGAATTTTGTTTTTAAATGTTTCCTAGTTTTCTATTGGCCGAAAAACATTTCGCATGAAAGTGTGAAATTTCACGAGTTTTGTTTTGGATTCGCTTTTGCGAGTGTGCTAAG